CCGTTACGTAATGTTTAAAATTATTCCACTTTTACGGAGTTAACTGGCCATTAATCTCCAATTAAATAGGAAGAATTTTAAACATTATGGGTGTAACCCCCATGTTAATGGTGGTATTAACACACCATTAAAAATATTACTAATGATGGTGAGTCATGGCTATTGAATGTGCCTTCATGGCATATAAGTTACAAAATGAAGAGCCATGAAAATGCCTATTTAAATGGAGGGACTCTTCTCATTTTTTGAGAGCATCCATACGTGGGAAGTAAAAGAGGAGAAGGAAAAAGTTAACACTTTTGTCTTTGTTTAACTTTGAGGAGAGCTCTTGGTTTTCTTGCCAATTTTTCCGGCGATTACCTTCATTTTTTCCGGTCGCAACCGTTCCTACGTTGTTCTTATTCGTTAGTGTGTGGTTGGTCCGTACAATTACCACACACGATAGCGGTTTTATCCTGGGAGGAGAGTGCCCACGTTTTTTCGGTACGGTAGGCGGGCACTACTACCTTAAGGACAGCTCCGGCGACTCTGCTGCCCTTCCGTGGTGTTTTCTTTGCGGGACTAGTTCATAAAGACCTCGCTGCATTCTGTCCTAGTGCATAATGTCCTCGCAACCCAGTGCATAATGACCTCGCAGCACTGTGCATAACGTCCTTGAATCGTTGTCCAGTGCTTAAAGACCTCGTTGTCCAGTGCTTAATGACCTCGCTGTCCAGTGCTTAACGTCCTCGCTGTCGAGTGCTTAATATCCTCGTACAACAAGGCCATTTGAAGATATAAATTTTTTTAATTTTCCAACTTTGTTTATTTTGTAATATTCTGAATAAATTATAAATTCAGAATTTTATTTATTTTTTATTTCCGGGGCCATTCATCTTCCCCGTCCGTTGTAATCCGTACGGGAAGTGTAACAAAAAAACACAACTTATTCGGGTAACATTCGAATGTTTGCACTCTAACATTCAAATGTATGTTTTAGTTAACATACAAATATTTATTTTATATTTTGTGCGAATCATTGCAACTCAATTGTGAAAAATTCAAATTTTTGGGATCAAACATTAAAATGTATCGTTCCATTTTACAAAGGGTGCAAAAGATAAATATTGCATTCGAATGTATGGTGTTACACATTCGAATACATTACTTGAAATCTACTATTGAACCTGTTACATCGTTGAATGAGCGTGCACTCCACACCTATGAACTCATTAACTCCCATGTCTTTTAAAATTCCCGTCCATTCTAAGTAAATCCCAATACTCATTAGACTTATATGTCATTCCAAAGAATTCCTTTCCTTTTAAACAAGAGAACTTATGTCTGAATTTTCTCTCCTTACTCATTTCTAAAACACACTTTTGTACTTTTCCATACTTTTCTTAGCCTACACGAATACTAAAGTGAAATTTTTTTAGTGGAGAGAAGATAAATTTTTACTTAATAAAACTACTTCAGAGCCTTGAAAAATCATTTTGGAAGTATATATGGATGAAAAAGATGCCAATAAATAGGACTATGCAACATTGATCTTACCCCGATATTAATAGAACCACTCTCTTTGAACTCCCAGTCTAAGATATAGTCGTAATTTCCAACTGTTGCCACCATTCTTACTACCAAGCTTACTTCTTCTTGGCCATATGTAACCTGCATAAAACAATATTTACTACATTATCCCAAAATATTTGATTTAAAGTTTTTAATTAATTCATATACGGTTTAAAATAAATCAAAAAAAGTAATTTTTTTAAAAATATGAAGGTAATTATTTTATCACTTCTTTATTACCACTCTATTTTCATATTTTTCTTAGCGTCTATTTGGAAAGGGAGAAAATGTTTTTAGGACAATGAGTGAATTTCACAAAATCATTTTCCGTTTTGGTGTTTTTGGTTAAAAGTATGAAGATTGTATATTTTCTAGCTATTTGGGTAATTCGAGGAAACAAATATAGTATAGAAGCTGTAGGAGAAGATAATTTTCATTGATTACATCACATGCAGGGTTATATACATCAGGAGCTTAGCGAGAAGTTATGGAGTTTAGAAACTTACTCTACTCAAATACATTTGAATTTAACCAACTTTAGGGAGTTTGATAAAATAGGATAGGATAAAATAACACAAACCAAGTAATCCGGAACCAAACCCGAAATAACCCAAAACCTGGAAAATAGAATTAGACTCGAACACCCAAAATGATTTGAACCGAACCAAAACCGAACCTAATTATATTTGAATCTAATCAACTATAGGATAAATACAAAGACTTAGTAAATAAAATAGGAAAGGATTATTAGACCTGGTAGAATAGACCTAAATTTGATAACTAGGACCAAATAACCTATAATCGAACCGAAATAACCCAAGAACTAAAAACCTGAATCAAACCTAAACACCCAAAATGATTCGAACCAAACTGAAATTGAACTAAATGCATTCAGATCTGATTCAGATCCAAATCTGATTGATCCCTAACAGATTAAATGTGAACCGACTAGACCTGAAACTGATTACACCCAATATTGATCAAATTCAAAACAAACTAAACTCAAATCCAGTCAAACTTAATAGCTCAATGGTAGATGTCTTTTTTCAGGAAAGCATATTTAAATTATAGGTACAACTAATTTCATGTACAAGTCTTTTATTTCGTATTTTATCACTTAAACTAAGGTGGTTGTCTATTTTTATACACTAAATATATAATTCATTGTGACATCATAACGCACATTGATGGATATACTAACTCATTATTGCTGACATGTGTATATATATCCCCTTATACATACAAGGAGGGGAGACTACACAAAAAGCTAACATTAAGAACTCTAATCTCAAGGGATCTTATCTGAAACTGGTATACATCCGACTGGTAGAAACCTGAACCGGTATAAATCAGAATAGATATAAACTCAAACCGATATAAACCCGAACTGAAATAAATATGAACTGAAACCAAATCGAAACTAAGAAAAAATCAAAATGAATTTAACTCAAAACCAGACTGAACTAACCTGAACTGACCGAAACTGATTATAACGTATATCTTAAAGAGACCTGAAGTGAAAAGGTCCGAACATGAACCAAATCTATTGAACGAATTGCTAGGTCTAAGGATAATATTAAGTTACTAATGATTATCCTTGATACACCCTGTAAGATCAACAATATGTTAGAGACGCCACTCTTGGGCGTGAGTTTCTAAAAAAGGAGATGCAGTAGTGGTTTGGTAAGAATGTTGGCAGGGTGCTCCGTAGAGGGAACATAGTGAAAAATAAACTTAGCAGATGCTAATTGATCACGAACAGAGAAATAGTGAAAGGCAAGATGATTCATATGGAAGTGAAAGATTGGATTTTTATATATGTATATAACACTCTGATCATCACAATATACACGTGGAGTAGTGGAGGATTGAGCCCAAAGTTTGAATAGCAAGTTTTGAACCCATAATAGTTTGGTTACGACATGTGTTAAAGCCCGATATTCGGCTTTAGTGGAGGAATGAAAGATAGTTTTTTATGAAATAATTTCCACAAAATAATATTTGAACCTAATTAGAGAGCATAGGCTGTGGTCGATCGGCCACCATCACTAACATCACCCCAATGTGCATCGGAGAACACAGTAAGTTGGATAAGTTCATGTCGGAAAAGATGAAGGCCATGAAATGGAGTAGAGTTGAGATATTAGAGAACTCGCTTAAGAGCCACCTTGTGAGACATGGCGGGATCATGCATATGATAAGATGGACAATTAACAACAAACGAGACATCTAGACGAGTAAGAGATAAATACTGAACCTGATCAATGATTCTTTGATAAGCTCCATAATCAGCGGCCAAGAAGTCTACCTTGCTGATCAGCGGTGGTTCAGCAACCATTGTGCATGGGAGAACCTTTCGTAGAAACCAAATGTGCCCCTTCAAGTATTATGCTTATGAAAAAAGACTAGTGTGTGTGGAAATAACTTCTACACCAAAAAATGATGAGGTCAGCCAAGATCCCTGGGCAAACATTATCTAGAGAGATTAGCCATAAATGTTGTCAAGATAACATCAGAATTCCTGATGAGAATATTTTCATCTACATTAACAAGAAAACATGCAAGAATACCCGCTCAAGCTTAAACAAATATAGAGGGATCCGCTTTGGATCTATGAAATCTCAGCTCGTATCCTTTGAAAAAGAAGACTCTAACTTATAGCAAGCATGAGGGGCTTGTTTCAACCTATAAATAGCCTTAGAAAGATGACACACATGATAAGGAAAATCTAGATGATCATAACCATGAAGTTGATCCATGTAAACCACTTTAGATAACTTGCCATTCCTAAAAAGCATTATTTATCTCAAGCTGGCGAATAGACTAGCGGTTAGTCAAGGCGAGAGTGACAACCACCTGTTAGCTCTGAGGGGACTGGGGTGTGACCTAAGAAGGTTGAAACTCTTAGCTCCAGTTTCCTAAATCTCATGTTTTGATGTTAACAAACAATATAAGAGCTAATGTTTATTAAAGTGTTTCAGGTACAACAACAATTCATTAAGATTCGGTTCTCAAGGATGAAGTTGAAACACTAAACTAGCGTAGAATATAGGTAGAAAAAATATGAGGATATGAATTTGTATACCTATATTCACAAGCTCAAATGCACTCACAAAACATGTTTAAAACCATCTCATAAACATTTTGGAATTTCCAAAAGGTTTTAAACTAAAACGGAAATGATTAAGAGAAATTTTCGATAATCAGGTTTGTGGTCAGGTACTTGTCACGGTACCCTGATACCGCCACACGGTAGGCTATACCGCCCGACATGGTACCTTGCTACCGCTAGATGCAGGTTCCGCTAGAGAAATTTGGCGTGTGCTCGTACCCCCTACCGCCCTACATGGTACCCCTACCGTATCTGCCAGTACCTTGATACTGTCTAGCCAGTACCTCGCTACTGTTACCGTTGGAAAAAAATTCAAATTCCATATTTCAAATATAATCATCTTTATTTGGTACAAACCTATCGTAATCACCCTCCAACGACTCTTTAATATTTTCCACTACAGATGTGGACTTAATCCTTTATTTTTCTTCATGAACCCAAGCTCCAAACATTATACTTAATATTTCAAGTGTGTTCATCTTTTTATTATTTATTCTTATATTTTGGCTATCTTGAGAGCCTTATTTTTCTTATTTTGATGTACACACATTGAGCTTTTGATTATACGTATATACTCTCATTATCATTAGGTTGATCTTGTATTTTTAAAGAGTATATTCTTCGTTCTTCACCGGCAAAGGATTGATCTTTTTCTTTATCATAGGCTATAAGGTGTTGAAAATTTTTCTATGTTTTTAGACACATATTTCATTCATTGTAACGGTCGAGGATTGTTGTATAAATCATTGTGTAGATAGTTATGGATAGCTGAGAAATCCTTGGGTAAATGTTCAAGGATAGTCTTTTAAATGCTTTGGGGGGACGATTGAAGATAGCTGTAAAATCTTCATTGTAAGCTATTTTATTTGAGATAGCCATTGTCAAATCTCGGGGTGAATCCTATTGCCAAGGATTGTTTGCCAAAACAACTGCGGTGCTTTGCTAGGGTTTAAGAGACCAGAACTTTATGGATTCGAAAATCCTTTAGGAGGAGCCTTAAGGCACCAGAGTAGGCCGGGAATTCCTAAACCAGTCTAAATTGGTGTGTCTTTACGCTTTAATTTCTGTGTTTTATTTCTTGCTTCCGCATTTGCCAACACCAATTTTACTAAACTCTGAAAAGATTTTAAACCCCTTATTCACCCCCCCTTTAAGGTGTGGGCTTACCAACAAACAGAGACATGGGTTGAGGAACTAGGGGCTAGATGGAGGGAAGGTGACTCGAGGAAGGGGTATTATATGTGGGAGGTGGTGTAGGACCAAGAGGGGGAGATTCTGAAGCAGGCAGTGGCATGCTCATTGAGGTGGGGTGTGACAGTCGTAAATCAGCGGCGAGTGAAGGTTGTGCTGACGCCACCAAACAATGGGCAGAGTTAGGCTCGAAGAGATGGTAGAAGAGTGAGGAGTATGACAAATGGAAAGGTGCTAGAAACAAAGCATACATTTGGAGAGAGGTAGTGTCGTTTAGTTGTGATGACAAGACACTTCTACACATTTTTCATACAACAACATTTTTCACTGGCTTTGTTCTTCATTTTCACCCCTCTTTTGAGTTTGAGCTTTTATTATTTTTATACACTCACACACTATGTCATTTTTGATTCATTATTTTATATCTTGCCCATAGGCTATTGTTGTTGTTCATTTATTATTTTGTTCTTCTCCTACTTAACTCGAATTATTTATTCTTGGTAAAGAAGCAACTTCATACAATTGTTACTTTATAGAAGGTTTGGATAGCCTTTAAATCCACATTTTGTTAAAAGGTTGAAGATAGCCTTAAAATGTTCATTGTAAAGCGGTCGAGATAGCTGTTGTAAAATCTCATCACTTATTGGCAAGAGTTTTTCGCCAAATCTCGTTTGAGTCTTCTTAGTGAAGCCAAATAAGTTAGTGGAGGTTTAATCCTTGAGGAGTTCCCGAACAAGTATAAAATCATTGGGTCCTGCTCATTTCTTTCTTATTATTTTCCGTGCTCTTTTTCTGC